GTTTCACTGTGTGATATTTCTAATAAACAGACTAAAATGGAATTACACTCGACCACAGCGCCCAAGTTTTACACTTATATCTACCGTAAACTGTCTAACCTCCTCTCGAAAGCCAAACGTTCGGACGTGGTGGTTGTTGAAAGTGACTTCAATGCACAGGTAGGTAAACTGAGTGAGGCGGAAAGGTACTTAGGTGGCACTTTCGGAATCCCAGCTGAACGTACAGATAACGGTAATCACCTACTACAACTATGCTCAGATAACCGCCTATTTTCAGCTAGCACAAATTTCAGACATGAAGAAAGACACTGTCTGACGTGGCGTCCACCGAGCTCAACTCAGCAATGGATACAGATAGACCACATTGCTATTAATCATCGCTGGAGAGGATCGGTGGAAGACAGCCGCTCCTTCTGGAGTACATGTGACCACGTATTGGTCCGAGCGCGTATATGCCTGCGTCTCAATGGACGTAAGAAAAAATTGGCAACAAAACCACCACGAGTACTGCTGGACAACCAAAACACTAAAGCCGTGTTCAGTGAGAAGTTGGCTAGACAGTTATCGGAATAAAAGACTGTCACTCATCCAGAAGAAGCTTGGTGCCATCTCCAGTCTGCTGTAAAAGCAGAGCTGAAGACCGTAGCCGACTCCGAAAGAGTGGCTAAAAAGAGCTAGTGGATATCAGCAGCTTCTTCACAACTAATGGATGCATGTGACGCATCCCTGCAGGCTATGAGTACAATGAAGAGCGACCGCAACTTAAAAATAGATTGAGAAAAAGTCTACGCAACGACCGCAAACAGTGCTGGGCAGCGAAGGCTAAAGAGATGGAAAAGGCAATGGCGATTGGTAATAGTAGACAGTTACTTAGACTCATTAAGGAGACTGGGGGGAAAAGGTCAACAACAGTTAATGAGGTTATAGCAGAGAAGGACAGATCTGCGACTCACTCGCAGAGGAGACGACTGGAACGATGGACAGAACACTTCGAGGAACAGTTTAACCAGCCTCCAGACACCATTGTGTTGCCTGCTATCCAGTCGAATCCTGAATGGAAGGTTAAGATAGGACCCAAAACACTAGCAGAAGTCGAAAAAGCAGTAGGTAACCTGAAATGAGGAAGGGCAGCAGAACTAGACAGACTAACTTCTGAGGTATACAAGGATGGTGGTGAGATGCTCTTAGGATAACGGAAGTGTTAACCAGTATATGGGAATCAAATACGATCCCCTCTGACCGGTCTGAATCATTGATTATCCCAGTTTTCAAGAAAGACGAGAAGTCCTCTTGTCATAACCACAGAGGAATCAGCCTGACGAACATAGTGTCCAAGATCCTAGGTTCTAAGTGGAGCTCAGAAACAGCAAGCCCGAGAAAATCAGGCAGGATTTAGACCCGGCCGCGGGTGTATTGACCAAATATTCACACTCCGCCAGGTCCTCGAACATAGGCATGCTTACCGACGTCCAACAGTAGCTGTATTTTGAAATAGTGGAGAAAATTCGTAGCTCACGTGGATGGTCTTGGTTGTATTCCTTGACCTGTAGGCGGCATTCGACTTCGTTGATTGGCAATGCCTCTCACTTAAAGGCGTACCGAGTAAGTACATCACCTTATTGAAGACTCTCTGCTCAAACAGTTGTGGACGTGTTAGAGCGTATGGTGAGATGTCCAGGGAGCTACGCTGATCGAGTGGTGTCCGTCAAGGATGCCTACTGTCTTCATTCTTTATACTTTATATTTCTTTTGACTGAATTTTCTTATCTCCATCTTTCACATCACTACCTTTCTACTTGATGTGTTGATATGAGCTGTGGCAACTCGGACAGTTACGCAGTAATGCTTGGTCCTATGTTGATATTGATGTTGATGATGATGGCACTTTAAGAAATAAATATATCTTTCTTTGGGACCGAAACAGTTTTAGGCTTCGGAGTTGGCTGTTTTCTATAACGGTTCCATTGCTGTGCCTGTCTGAAGTTTGCTCTCATCAACCATTGTATCAAATGTACAAATATGTTGGATCCTATTGAATGAACATCTTACTAAGCCTGTCTTATATTTCGTTGGATAAAAGCTGTAGAAACTTAAGTACTGCCCTGTTCAAGTAGGCTCTGTTTAAATTTCGATCTTCTGATAGATCCATCTTCCCTCTGATCCAAGGGTATGTCGAGAAATGCAAGTTGATAATTATATTGCGATGATGTCATCAGTATACCTTCTATAGAATGTGACATTACTTATTAAATTATGAGTCACTAGTTCAGTTTGTGACATATACACATCAGCTAATAACATTTCTAATGGACTCCCCTCAGTAGCACCATCAACTTAACGGAAGTGTCAACCTTTGAAAGTGAAGTGAACCTTATGAGTGCCTAATAAAAGTAGCTTTATCAAATTCGTTGGATAAATAGGCAAAGAAGGATAATTCGAGAATATATAATCGCAAAGTATATTAACTGTTTCACAAGAGGCTCAAAAAAATCCACAGCGACTAGTAGTTGAATCAAGGACGCCCGCTTCATGCTCCTTTGGGACTGTCCAGTTAGATTCATCTGTATCTCAGTGCGCAAAGACGTTCAAGCTGAGATTCAAACCTTCAGTCTGTCACTTCAAACTGCAGACTGTGATTTAATTACCTACTGAATCATAACGGTCAACAGTCGAACGATGGTTATCGTTTGATGCTACAGCTTGTATTCTTTCACTGGTAATTGGATCAGATGGAATTGGTCGGCCTTTGTCAGTCCACAGACTTCTGTATGAATGTATTGGTGTAACCAACGGTTTCATATCGATATTATGGGAAGTATGTCAACTGTTGTTGAATCAGTGTCCCTTGTTATAGACTGTTCAACATTTTGAAAGCTATTGGTTAAAAGTGAAACAGTGGCCCACATTATCTTCACTTGCATGAATACCTACTATGGACTATACAACAGAATCCATCGTCTTTCATAGGCTAACACACGAAGATTTACCAGAAAAATTCAATTGGGTTCAGCAGTAAAGTTTGAAGTGACGCTTTTTGCGAAAATTTCACTCATTAGTGGCCGATCTGTGTATATAAGCCAGTAATACAGAGAATCAACACTAGAAGTGACGTGGAAATAGATTATGCATGCCCGCCACCGTCTACCTCGACGTTCTAAGCTGAAAGAAGGTGGATTAGGTTAAAATAAGGTTCATGGTGGGTAGACTGAGACGTGACATCGGTCGGTGATGTCCTTGAGTGAGTTGTGTAGGGAGGTATAGACTGCCAGGTTGACGTCTTCGAAACGAAAGGAATGAATAGTTGAAAACTCTCGGTGACAAGACGCAAAATCGGTGAGAGTGGCGCAAACGTATTGACTCCGTGACATCGTATAAACCATGAAATTTGCACTAACTTTTATCTTCAAAATGATTGTTCTTCCACACAACTGTCTATCAAGAGAACCATTGAAAAGCTTTGAGTCATAGACACCTCATTTGTGATATGATATTTCCCGAAGTTTTAATGACATGGTGTGACCTATGAGGTTAACCAAGTCGAGTATGAGGAACGAAACTCACTCATGACATTAAATGATATTCTTAATACTTCATGAATTGACAGAAGTAGGAAATATGTGGACCCGATGGTTAACACGTTCGCTGCAAGAGCTGAGAGTCCTGATTTCCATCTTTAGTGCAGTCGTGAGTCCACACTGCTGAGAAGTTTCGTTCTTCGACACAACACCTGTCAATTGCCAATTTTTGTGTAAGATGTTGAATTCAGTCAACAGGAGGTGCTTTTTGGCTTCCGCCAATGGGATGAATCTTCAGTCAAGAGGATATCGACGTCTACTTAATTATTTAAACTTTCATACAGTGGAGACTTGGCTGAATTAGTTTTATCCTGAAGACTAGACAACCATTTTTTTCGTCATAATCTCGTACTATCTCCTTTTTGGCTTGTATTTGAAGTGGTTTATACTGAGTTTGTGTCCTGGTAGAAACAACATCGCTCACTGGAAGGCGCATACATCCAGCCAACGAGTACAAAATAGAATGAAATGCACGTCCTGGATCCCATTGTTATCCACTATCCATCAACACTATAACATACCCTTTTCATTTTCTCTTCTTTATATTTTTCCCTTTTTTAGCGCTTGTTCGACTGGTCCCATGCTGTAAAGTGTATTCAACTTTCACATTATCTGATTCAACCTGTCCAACAATGTCGAATTCCACGCAACAAAATAGTAATACATGCTGTAAAGCACTTATTCGAGCATATATCAACGCTTATTATAATACTATTGTTTACATCTCTTTAGGTATACTGGCATTCTTTGTAAGTTGAAAGTATTGCATCAATTCACCTTCAGGACTGCAGACACATCTTCTTGGTGAACACCGGTAAACAGGAAACTTAGGATTGTCTGCCGATTGTTTCCATCCAACTAAAGTGTATACATAGATACACATTAAACTGAATACTACTATCATATCTCTCAAATTCATGCATGTTAAAAATACTGTATTCTTTCATACCCACTTCTCTCTCCTTTTTTAACAAATCCTAGAGAAATAAAACAATGAACTATGTTTTGAGGGGTTGTGAAGATTTGGAAATATTTCAAGTTGTTATTCATCGAAGACTGACATCAGTTGGAGGAACAAAGGAAACCTGCCAACTGATGTCAGTCTACGATGAATAACAACTTGAAATAATTCCAAATCTCCACAACTCCCTCAAAATTTAATTTAACTGGTGCTCATTGGTGACTAGCTTCGAGAAGTATTCCCGAAGTTCCAATGAGAAGTCGTGACTGGTGGAGTCAAAGCCTGATGGCCATGAGGACAGATACTCAGTGATGACATTGGGTGGCGGTTGCGCTATATATCATAATGAACTATGTGTCAGCCGTTAAGTTAACAGTGTTTCAATTTTATTAGATGATGCCTTCATCAGCTGTTGACTTGGTTGATTCCATAAGTAACAGCTTACTATTTAAAATGCCACTTACAGGTGACTTCTTTTTGACTGATAAGTATTACCAATTCTGAAACCGATTTGTCATTCATGGAACAAAGTAAACTAGAATTGATCCTGAAAGAAAATCAAATGATCTAGTAGAAATTTGACCAAAAATCAAACTGTTAACATTTTTGTCACTCACTCCACGAATTTACGATGTGAAAATTTACAGGTTTCAATAAGAATCATTCTTAAGATTCAGACAAAATACTTAACAGATATTTCATCAATAACTGGAGTCAGTATTGGTCTTATAACTAAGAATTCCAAAGTCTCTGAGGTAGACTATAGCCGAGGAATCAGTGTACTGTATACAGATCACTATCGCTACAATATCTAATCGGAAACTCAATGTATTAAGCAATACACAATTCCTCAAAGGTATCCCGAAGTCAAATCTACTATTTTCCATCTATCTCTGGATTTGACAAGTTATTAATACCAAAAACAAGCATCAGCATAGAAAGCATTATGGACACATTAGCATGTTTACTGTTATAAACACCCACAACTGCATGAAGGATTAAACTAGGAAGATTTGAGCTCTCCAGCAGGTTGCTGGATTAAAGTCTCAGTGAGAACATCACTACTACTTAGGATTCAGCTTTGTCTAGCTGATGAATCCTTTTTATTATTATTATTTGTCCCTTGAGTTCCTAGTGGAACATAGGGCTTTAGTAGCACGTATCCATTGCATTCTGTTATCTCCACCCATTTCAACCTGGCTCCACCACTGCCCACAAGCTTTCATTTCTTCTTCACATCATATCCTCCATGTCACCCTCACCTCGGATACCCAACTCGTCGTTTCACATGTGAATTCCACTCGACGGCCTGGAGCGTGATGTCCCCGAATGGTTTTCTCAGTGTACGTTCAATCCATCTCCAGTTTCTTCTTATGTATATTTGTCGGCGATAGGTTCTCATTTCGTCGGTTGGTTCGTTGACAGGTCAGATTTCCTCCTTGTTTATTCTTTATCGCCTTCTCATCTCATCTTCACTATCGAGCGTAGGAGGCAGCGGTTGATGAGTGTGTTAGTTTGTTGGAAATGCATTTCGTGAAGCAACACGTTTTTGAAACACCATATAAAACACTGACTTGACTGACTTAGTCTTGAAAATAAGGATCTCGTTCTTTATGTTGTGAAGTGCAGTAGATCTCCACACTGATTTAAGATCAATGAAGGCCTGTCTCACTGTATTTCCGCTCGTGGTTCGAGGTCCACATCTGTGCCTGTGACGCCTGAAGTTTAAAAGATTTTGCCAAGGTAGGTGGAAGAGGCAAATTCCTTTAGTTTCCCCCCTTTGATATCAATCGGTGCTTATTGTTCTTGTTGTCGTCGTTGGTTGGGTATCTTCATCACCTCCGTCTTCTCCACGCTCACATGAAGTCCCGTCTTCACTGCCCTGCCTCTTCTGTCAACTTCTTAGTTTTCACCTCTAGAACTTCGAGTTTGTGCGACATAAGACATTAGAAATAAATCATCATCGGCGAAATTCAAATCTCCTAGACTCTTTTTAAAGGTCCAGCCAGCGTATGCTCCTCCTCTTGCTCCTCACAGTTTCTTGCATGATCCAGTCGAGTTGAACACACTCAGGAAGATCATCACTGATAGTAGGCAACCTTGTCTTGTCTTACTCCTGTCTTCACCTCAAATCAAAGGCGTCACTGAGCTTTCCATTGTGAATCACTCAGGATGTGGCTTCGTCATATATCCGCAGTTGAATGATGTTGATAAAGCTTTGTGGCACTCGAATCGTTGTGTTGAAGCAGCTGCTTGTCAAATTACTTCTCGGTTGATGCTGTCGAAGGCCTTTTCAAAGTGGATGAAGTTGAGGAACAGGTATACTTGACTGCCATTCTATGCTGTGTTCTATGATGATGCCTAGGGTTGCAGTTTGTCCTGCACATGATTTGCACTTCCTGAATCCAGCCAGCGCACTCCGGTCGTATTTTGAATCCAGCGTGCCTTTTGATCTATCCACGACGATGTGACTTCAGATATATGACTTGAGGTGGACAGCAGCATGAGTCCTCGCCAGCTCTTGCAGAGACTTAGGTCTCCCTTGTTTGCAGATTTGACAAGATGGCCATTCCCCCAATCAATGAGCAGGTACCTTTCCTTAATTCCTTCCAAACCTTCTGCAGTAGTGGTGTGAGCATATCCGCTGTTCCCTCTGAGTCTGATCTCAGTGCTTCTGCGGGAATTCCATCTGGTCCTGCTGCTTCCTCAGATTTCAAAGAATTTATAGTGTTCAGGACTTCGACTTATTTCGGAGGGCTTCTGTTCACTGGTAATTCTGTGGCTCGAATGCTGCTGGCATTTCTGGATGAGTCACACGTGATGGTCGATTCAAGAGTTTTCGAAGTGGTCAGTCCATCGTTTCCTTTCTTCCTCCTCTTTCGTGACAACTACGTTACTTCACTATCTCCCATCGGCTTCATCCCTGCTGTGTTGATCTCCTCTCAGATGGTAACCTGCTTATTTGATATAGTGTTGTCAGGTCTCTATCTCTCCTACCAGCAGCCTGTTCTGATTCACTTGTAAGGGTGTCGTAGAAATATCTTCCGTCTTTCCGTCCACTCTTACTCACTTCTTTCTCCAGTGTAGTGTTTCATAGATTGTACTCAGTTCCCCTTTTCCTTCCTCATACCCACACTGATTCATATTATGCTTCATCACCCTACTCTCCTATATCAGCTTCCGTGTGTCCGTTGACATCCACTCCTTGTCTTTCCTCCTCTTATTCCTCCTTCTCAACATGCATGGTTATGCAGGTTTATTTCCACATCTCTGTCAAACAGTTCCAGTGTTCTTCCACACAGGTGTCCTCGGCGATGTTGCTCAATGTCTCCCATTTCTTCCTCATGACAGACGACGTGAGGATATCTATCCTTTGTAGTTTCGTCGTTCGGTTCAGTTCAGTTCAGTTGAGTTCAGTTGAGTTCAGTTGAGTTGAGTTGAGTTGAGTTGAGTTGAGTTTCTGTTCTGGGTGTTCAACTCCAACTGTGGTCTATCACCACCAGGTTGTTTGAAGGCTTTCAACTTGATTGTGGAGGTAGGTTTCTTCCACTAGATATTGAGTGGTGTGAACCTACACATATCCACTCCCCTTCTTCATCTGATCTTGTGTCCAGTAAGCTGACTGCCTCTCCACTCCCCTCACACTGAGATGAAGTCGATCTGATATTGAGTGTAGTGTGTCCTGGTGTCTGGTGAAATCACATGCATGTCGCTCGCTTTGTGAATATTTTTTGTGTTTGTACACTGTACACACTGCCTCACCTGCAATCACCAAATCGTTGAATGCACAGAAATCTGCAAACAGTTATCCATTCTCATTCATCATCATTTCACCGAGTGCTTCTCGACCCAATGATTTCTTCTCTTCGTGTGTTTTCCACTCGCAGTTTGGCATTCATGTCACCTCACTGATTAGAAGGCATTTTGATGTCGCCAACTGGAATCGTGTCTCGTCCAGTACTGATTACAGTTGTCTGTAGGATTGTTGCTTCTTCTCTTCATCCACATTATTTGTTGGCGCGTGCCAATCAATGATTGTGACTTCCCTTCCCTTCCCTTCCTTTTGATTTGAATCCATCTTGCTGTCATGATGCTTATCGTGCAGGAGGATGAGATTGGTTCCGACTGACTGAGAGCCTTCGATGCTCTTGCAGGGGATAGATATCATGATGGCCACTCCATAACTGAACTCAGTGTACTGTGCTTGTGGTTGTCGTCTGGGTGACAATATCGGAGTAGATTATTGACTCAGTAGTTGACAGTTTGGAGAGTGCACTTCCATTCCATCTGCAGATTTCTCGCAGATTATTAGCATTTCAGTACTATACCTTCTCATCTGTTTTGCAATCTGGACAGCCTTGGTAGGTTCAAACATCGTTCGGATATTGCATGCTGTCATGCTTACTGTTGCTTTCATCGAGCGAGGGAAGACACATCGGCCAATTGGCTTCCCAACTGGCGTCATTTCGCCTCTCCGATTCCAGTGAGGAATAAGTTTAGTTTTATTTTTAATACTTAGTTACTTTGTGCTTAGAAGTTTCTTTAGTGGTTAGATTGGTTTTCCGGAGTATTGTTGCTAGCCGTGTGCCCAACCTTCGTTGTTTATGCGTGCTTAGGACCGTCTAGTAACTAGTGTACTAGTTGCCTAGGGTGGTATTTGATGAAACTTAAATAAGACGAAATGCATCTTGTACATTACACTGCTAGTTACCACCAACTCACTTTGCTTCGGCAAACTCAACTGTATCAAAACACTTTGTAATTGAATCAGTAAACTAGATAACCCCACTATAAGATTTGTTATATTTTGTCACTAAGTAGTTTTGTGGTTTAGTCTTCGATTTACAAATTATCACGAGAATACTACTCACCCCATGGTTGAAGATATATCTTGCTAGTGGCTTCCAACCAGTCCGAAGCCTAGATTCAAGACCTTCCACTAGTTGACTACTAAAATCTAATCTAATAAATTGATTACATAAGTGGTAGGTGAATTCAATAAAACACATAAGTTGTAATCAACACTTCACACTATTCCTAAACTGTAAAAATCTCTGCTCAATCAGATCAACATTCAATAGATTCACTTTGAATGGTTTCATATTCACTTCAGATATTTGGAAAGTTCAATTAACCATTGAAATAAAGAATGAAAAAAGTTAATGGATTGTATCTGAACTACTCAGGTTCTGTGTCTACTAGTTAGGAGGATCGTCTTATAGGCCGGCGATTGTGTTAACTGTTAAATACATAAACTAATGTGCATAAAACAGTGGTGTAGCGGTCCACTTGACGAGTCTGACAAACTCTTGGCTGCAGACTCTTCAGAAATAAGCATTAATGATTTTATGAAGATTCGATTCGAAGACCATAAAGTTTTACAGAAAGTATGCTACTGTTCACTTACTGTAATATACTTTGGCTATCACAGAATATAACCGGTAAGGATTCCTTATCATCCCTGTCTGGTTGACCTCATAGGTCACAGTCACTGAAGAACACCGAGTCTTCATTCTATGAAGATAATGAATGGTTACTATTTATTGATATACTTGTTATTCTCCGTTGTTTGTTGTGTTGGATCGAATTGTTCGACCTCTATTGACATTTGAACTCCTATACGAATGCCTCGATATTGCCTGAATGTTAACTATGGTAATTTGG